TTTAATAGACGGAATTAAATGGCCCTAAGTCTTGGGAACAGTAGTGGGAATATCAAAAGGGAATGGACAAGATTCTTAGTGCAAAGTAGTTAAGTGTTTAAAGAATTGATGATTAGAAAATAAACGTCAAATAAATGCACAAGAAGTTACTGTTCATTAATGATGAACAAAAATTACAAAAGAGAAAAAGACATTGTATGTTTTAATTACAGTCTACCCCATAAGGAACGAATTCGTTCCCTAAGTTTTTCCCAATCCTCGTTCTGCCATGAGGAAGTGATGTTCAATTCAGTTGCAACGTCATCATCATCAACCTCCAACTTCTTGTACTGTTCGACCAAAGATTTAGTTCGCTCAATCCCCTGAGAGGCGTTGCGCTTTTTAGCAGCCAACCTCGCCCTGCAATCGTCCATTTTGGCTTGAAGTTCCCTCATCTGAGCAGCCAGGCTAACCATCAAGGAGTCTTCAATCATGACTTCGGAAGAGATTTCTTTCAACTCGTCCTTAGCCTTGTTGATCTCCATACGTAAAGACTCTTTCTCAGCCACAGCTCGAAGATATTGAGTACGCTTGGCCTTTAGTTCAGCATTCTTGGCCAGCATAGAAAGGACCTCGGAGTGAATGACCTTCAATGTCGCTTTAAAGTCGGCAGAAAGACTGAGCGACGGAAGCATCAGTGCTTGCTCTAACTTCGCACTCAAGTGCTCAAGTTCATCCTTGTGTCTGGCAGCACTAGCCCTTCCAATGTCCATATCCATGAAGGATACGTACTCAAATACCAACTCCTTCAAGAACTTCAAATCATCCTCTGAAGAAGCAGCAGGACAATCAGATGGAGCAGGGCGAGGCATTTAGACCTGCCCCCAAGAAGCGAACAAATCCTGGATAGAACGCACAATCCTGTCAGCATCCTGCAAAGAAGGTTGCCAATATTAAAAATCCTCACTACAATGAACAAGGTGGAAATAGAAATGATAGAAATGAAGCAAAAAGAAAAACTACCTCGTCGACAATCGTAGAAGATGGCGCGCCCTCGGTCAAGCTTGCAACCAGCGACTCATCCATTCGTAAGGACTTCCTCTTGTCCGAGCGAGACGACGTTGCCACAACGGGTGGACTCATAGGAGTATCTGCAAAATTCAAGAGCAACAAATCAGAAACAAATAGCACGATCAAAGATAAGACATCAAAAACTGAATTACCTTCTACTTCAATGATTAGGTGGTTGACACCCTGGGAAGAAGGTGGCTCATCCATGGGTTGTGATGAAGACTCTGGGACCGAAGATGTATCTTTAAGCATGGTCCCATCACCAACCGATTTGGATGAAATAGCCTCAGCAGAGGATGATGGAGCAGGAGTTGTCGATGCCAAAGCCTTTGAAGGGGAGGCTGAACTTTTCTGAAAAGTCCAAAAGATCATCAGTACACAGAACAGTATCAAATGTGGAAAAGCATACTTGTAAATAGACCGATTTAATTACCTTCCTCCTGATGATAAGAGGGGCATCATCATCATCATCATCATCATCATCATCAACATCATCCTCCAGAATGGGAGATGTTGAGGCTGGCCGTTTGCGGCTTGAAGCACTCTTGGCCGTAGTAGGCCTGGCAGGGAGAGAAGAAGATGGATGAGCAGGATGTTTAGTACGACGAGAAGGAGAGGGGCTTCGAATAGACAAAGGAGTGACCAAAACAGGAGGAGGAGAAGAAATACTCGGTTGGTCTAATGAATGAAAGGCACGATTGGCCTCAGTCGCAAATAATCTGCGCTTCACTGATGGCCAAAGTTGTTCAAAAAGAGGGTGAGTAGCATGACAAGAATTAAAAGGGGCTAATGAAAAGTGGCTTGATAAATGGAGGTTGCGAACATTTATAGCCTCTGCTTCCGCCTTCTTAATGGTATGAAAATGGTCAATTAAGCTCTTCGAATAGCAAAGAGGAACAGGCCAAGTTTGGCCAAAACCAAGCTGACGGGCAAAAAATTGGGGAGCATAAATTTCTACCCCCGCTTTGGCATTGGTCCCAGTTAAGATATCATGGAAAAGCTCCCTCCCAGTTAAAAACTAGATCCAAATGAGCAGAGAGGTGCTCGCGCTATCTATAGTGGAAGGGGGATGTACATAGCTCCATGGCTAGCCCATAACAGCGAGCAGAGGAGCGAGAAATTGATTGAGCACCAAGCAATGGAAAATAGGATCTCTGAGTGAACCAAAGAGGTCTACTGCCAGTGGGAGATGCACCATTCTTCAATTGAGTTTGAAGAGAGGCTATGCCTCTATAAAGGGCAGCCAAAAACAAAGAACATAAATTCAAAGGCCTGCCACGCGCCAATTCGTGCGCTATAGGTAAATAACTCAGAGAAGGCTTTATATTTGGCACACACAAAACATATTTACAAAGCCAAACTAAAAGAAAGGCGACTCGCTCAGCATGGGTAGGCTCAGCGCTCGAATGATTATGGAGGGTCTACAGGCTTGAATAAGAATCGGTGTAGTTTTTACCAAACTGTGGGGCGCCACTAGAAACTAAGATACCTGGGAAAATGGTATCGCCCAAAGGTGGTAAATTCACCAGGGCCCCAACATCCCTTAACGTAAT